TGCAAGCGACAATTAATATCACTCAATCGGAAAGGATTCTAGTTTCTGCTGCAGATGTGCCATTTTTTTAAAAGAAAAACGCAATATTTTAAATATGAAAATATTTTGCCAAATGAAATTAACTCACGCAAGTTTTGTCTATAAATGAGGCAATTTTTTTCTACTACAATGCCAAATTTTTTATGTTTTTCCTTCACCAAGTACAACTTTTGCTCCTCAATTAACCTACAATTGGACTGTGGCGTACATTGGATGGTTTGTTAAAAAATGTAGTCAATTTTTCAATGTTGTCGGAATGAATGGCACTTTTAAGTATTTAAGCAAATGCCAATTACTTCTATTAAATCTCCAAATTTGTGTCCAAGAAAACATCTTGTATTAGTCATAATTATTCAATATTAACCAGACAGACACAATTCTGAATTTAGTAGAACTAATTGTCTTTTGTCATTTACAAAAGCTTTATATTTTAACAGAAAGTGCCATACAGACAACATAGTTTCAGAATGAATTGAACCTTGAAGTCAATCTTCTAAGGCTGCCTTCATAGAAAGTAAAATTCATTTACTGGCAGTCAAACCAAAAAAAAAATGTTGATGAATTGAGAACAATTGACATTTTCATCTGTAGATAAAAATATGTTAAAACTGGCTAATTCTGCAAAAAATTTCCGACCGAAAATCGGTTGCGGATCTTCACCCATAAAACTAATAAAATGCTTTGGTCGCACAAGCCATAAATAAATCATGTATCAATAAATTAGCCATTATAAGGTCCGATCAGGCATGTGATTGAATCTGTCACCAAATCACTGCACCCGTGTCAGCGACGCTCAGCATACGGTCAAAGTGGTATTTCCAGCTACTTTATCGAAATTACCATATAAAGAGGACCTTTTTGATAAACGCTAAATTTTTATGGGGAAATCTGCGCCTCATCTTTCCGTACGTTTGCTTTTGGTCGCGTACTAAACAGATGGTGTCTCAGTATATTTAGGACCTTTTTTTAAAGTCTTCTATTCGACTTAATCCAGTCAATATTAAATCAGCAGTTTGCCTAAACAATGTTCATCGACATTCATGTACATACAGGCAAATTGGAGGCATTGTTCAATTTAAATATGCTAATTGAACTTGAACGTAACACCGTAAACATTGGCAGTTTGCAGGTGGAAATGTTAACAAAGCGGGTTTTTCTTTGCGGCTATTCAGAATGTGGCTGTTCAGGATGTACAAAAGTCCATTATTCACGCAATGTGGTTAAGCCATCGATGGCATCAAACAGGTTTCTTGAAAAGGAACAGAGGAAGAGATTACTTTTACTTTCTCCACTCATTATTGTAATACAACAACCAGGTGATTATTCGTAATAGTCTAGGAGATTTTGCGGATGGTGTTACTTAAGTGCCAACAAAGCCAATATATCGATTAGGCTTAGCAGATAATTGCGACAAAATGGGGTAATAAGGAAAGTGTTGTTCAGTTTTGTGCAATTTCGTATTTACTGTATTTCTCATAATAATGTGCAATTTTATTCTTCAAATTCATATCATAGTCCACTCTCGATTGCTTTCGCTTTTGGAGATTTCTGATGCCTTTCTTTTCCTGATTTGTCGTTCATTGATTCCTCAACTCATATAGCATATTTGTTCCTTTCACAGCGAAATTTCTGTTATTTGGGCTTCTTATTTGCTCTTATTTTAACTTAACTTAAACTTTGACTCGGCTTGAAAGCCGGATAGAAAGTTTGCAAATTTTCGAAAGCTGATTTGGTCAACAGGTGAAAATTCTCAACGTTGTCTTTAGTACTTCAATACCTATTTTATTTACATTTACAAAACTGATTAGTGATGCATCAAAATTTACAATTGTCTCTTTAAATTTACATGATTTTTCGCTTGTTTCGCTCGACTTTTTTGTTTGTTGATTCCTTATTCTGTGTGGAATTTTTATTATTTTTAAAGCTATTGTAAGCTATATTTTCCTCTTTCGTTCTCGTTTTTCTTTGCTCGTTTATTCAGACAGCTTCAGTTTTAGATAATTTCTGTGTTTTATTTATTTTGGCTTTTAATTGAATTTATCTGCAATATATTTGTTTGTTTTTTGCCAAGTTTCCACTCCTTGAATAGTTTTCTATTTGACATTTATATCAGTGAAGTATCAAAACGTACGATTTTGTCCTTAAATTTACACTATGTCTTGCTCTTGATTTTTTTCGCCTATTAAGATTTTCATTGCTTGTTTTTTGCTATTGCTGAATCCTTATTCTTTTTAGAGCTATTATATTTTATATTTTGCTCTTTACTAAGTTTGGTTCTCGTTGTTCTTTGCTCTTTTATTCATGCAGCTTCAGTTTTAGGTAATTTCTGGGTTTTATTAATTTCGGCTTTTAATTGAATTTGTCTGCATTAAATTTGTTTATGTCTTGTACTAGTTTTCCACTCCTTCAATAGTTTTTCATTTGACAATTACATCAATGATGTATCAAAATGTTCGATTTTGCCCTTAAATTTACACTATTTTTTTCTCTTGATTTTTTTCGCCTATTAAGATTTCCAGTGCACATGTTTTGCTGTTGTTGAATCCTTATTCTTTTTAGAGCTATTCTATGCTTTATTTTTCTTTTCGCCCAGTGTGGATCTCAATTTATTTTGCTGTTTCCTGCAAACAGTTTCACTTTTAGGCAATTTGTAATTAGTTCTTTCCATAGCGACTCCAATTTACAGTCATTCGTTCAATATTTGCTTCTTTATTTTCTTTGTTGCGTCCTTCGTTGCTTCAGAATTCATTTCAGTTTAATGCAGTAATCACATGAGAGCGTAAAAAATATTGAAAAGTAAATAAACAATCAAAATAAACACAAATAGAGAAAACGGAAATTCAGTAATAAATAAAGTTAAAAGAAAAGGGGAAATTTATGGAGAACATCTGAGTACAAAAATGGCAATAAAGTGCTGGAAAATCTGCCTAAAAATCATTAAAAAAAATTAAATGCAGCAACTGAACAAAACTAGATAAAACCCATTACGAATTTGGCGTTTACACACGTTCATAACCTTCTCCACTACACTCGATTTCTATTCCTGATGATTCCTACGTTAAGAGTAAACCGGTTTCAGTGAAAAGTCCTTAACCCTGACCGAAAACAGGTTTTTTGCGCACAATAAATATACGAAATTAACAGCAAAAATAAACACTTTTCCAGACTAATTTTCAATGCGTGATTGAACATTATCAACTATTAACGTCTAACAACTTGTAATCGTGTTCCATTACCTCAAAACATTCTCTCAGCCAGCAAAAACAATGCTAAACAGAAACCCAGCCGTTCGAGCGTTTTATCAAATGGCCGATAATTTAATCCAGACTCTCTGTGCAAAGCGCAAATTAAATGTTCCATAATTGCGAGCAACAAACAAAAGCAACCTGTTTAGTAAATGAAAATATTTAGTAAACGTCCAACTTGAAATTAGTTTAAACTGCTGATTGTGTTGTTTAATAATCATCGACATGCCATCGTTTACAATGGAAATTTGAATGAAAAATCTGCATCTTTTGGACGCAGCCAATATATTTGATGGTCCATTAAAGGAAGTGTTTAGATAGAAATTTATACAGAATGGTGGAATTCCGCTAATTACATCATTAATAACGATTAGGCGAGTAATTAATGACGTAAGGGTGGCTTGGACCGCAAAGTTTGCCACTATTCTCTATTGGTGAGATATTTTACGCACCTGTGGCAGTTCGAAACTATTTTAGTGAAATAATGGAAATCGAAATGCTGCTGTTTTGGAGCCAACAGCATGTTTTCTATTTGTTGTGTGCTACTAATTGAACCCTGTTTACTACGGTTTAATTCCGACTAATTACTGTTGAAATCGCAAATATTCACTAGGTAAATGGTCCTTTGTTTTTCTTCACCATCCGAAATGATCTCTATAAGAACAAGCTGATTGGGCTACTCTAAGGCAAAGTGAACATTTTAGACTGAAATAATTTATTATATAAAGCTGCAGAGTGTAGAAACAATACGCTGCCGAGAAGTGGACAAATTAAATTACCCAAAAGAGCTACTCAGGTATGTCAGGCCGAGAAAAAAACGGTTTTTCGTTGGCCAACTTTACTTTATTAGAGCATATCGATGGTGCTGCAATGGCGAATTATTAATTTTCTTCACTTGGCTTGCAGTAAATTGAAGAATTTACCATTCGAAACGCATATCGCCTTATACAGGTTGGTTCTTCTGGGAAAATCTAGAGCACTGAACAGCATCGTGCAAGAGATTATCAGTCTACCCACAAAGGACAAAAATCATTTCGAATTACCATTACAAATCGCTATTCAATTGATCTATTATAAAACTGGCCGGTTGCAAGGAGATGTGGAGGTACTTTGAGATTACGTCTAACTAGGGCGGACACTCCCATTGACCTAGAACTATTTATCCGAAGAGTTTTATAGTGTTTATCGGTACCTACGCTATTAGAGTTTTTTCTGCGATAAAATCAATAATTTACCTACGTATAGGCAGGGACACATTTTCCATAAGGACGATTGGTTGATTCTTTGAACACTGCACTATTAAAAACATAAAATCTTCAGATATTTACAAATCCAGTTGAGAGTGAGATTAAAACCACTGACCCAAAACATTCACTGTTCATTAGCAAATCACCAGAAAAGAAAGTGTGGTTTCCTCAGCCGAATATTTACTTCCCAATGCAAATCACTTGGCTGATTTTCTATGTTGTAGACTTGAAATAAATAAAACATCAGCGCTAAGAGTAATTGTAGAGTCACCAGAATCGACTGCACCAGATAAAGGGTGTGTCCAGTAGGTTATAAAATTAATAGGATTCTTCACAGATCAGTAGTTTAGATAGTTTAGCTTGTACTGGGAAATATAAGGTCGTAATGTATAAATAAAATAAAATAATTGCTTCCTCTAAAGCGCCTTACCGCCTTCCCGGAGGAATTTTACAACGTCTTTAAACTCACCTGGCTGGAAACTCGTTGCAGATAATCCTCAAGTGTCTTCAGCAAATTATCCTGCAAATTTAAGCAGAAATTAGTAAAATTCTGGTTTTTAACAGTGCGGGCAAAATTGCCAAATAGAGAAATTTTGATGGTTTTGCCATAGTTGAGTCGAGTTAAGTTCATCTGCGACAAACTTTCACAAAATGCTAAAATCCTTAGAATTTATAAAAAAAATAACATGTTTTAGCTTTTGCGTTGATAAATAAATCTTTGATTTTAAGAATAAATGATTTTTATTGTGATTTATATAGAAAATGTTATTTAAATAGCATCAGACAATGATTTTTGCACCCTTACACGAATTCAATGTTTTCAAGCATTTGTAAGGGCTTCATTAAAAACTCCCAACTTTCAGTCTGCACCAAGTACCCACTTGAAATTTTTACAGTCCAAACCAAGAACGTGATTCTACAAGCACGCAAAATTTTATTCAAATCGCATCTAATGCCGATTTTTATTTGCGCCGTAAATGTTGCTTTAAAAATTAACATTTTCAGGCAACTGAAGGCATCCACATACAAATTGTTCACTTATAATCTCAAGCGATTATCAACTTGAAATGTTTGTGGTCTATAGGAAACCCCTTGGCCTAAAAATCCTGAAAATTTAATTTAATTCACATTTGGCCATTTGGACTTGATTGCCGAAAAATAGACGTTTTCACGTAAGTACAGGAACTGTAATAAAAATCCTATGTTCTGATCTAGAGCAAGTAGTGACTTGACATTTTCAAGTTTTTTAAATTACAATGGAGGCTAAAAATGTTTAAAACTTTTTTGCAACTCATCAAATGCTGATATTTGTGCTCTTTGTAAATTCTGGTTAAAAAGAAAAGTTTTCACGTAAGTGGAGGAATTTCAATAAAAAAATCCTAACTTATGATCTGGAGCAGATAGAGACTTTAATTTTTCAACCTTTGTGAACCACATGGGGGTCTTAAAACTCAAGAAGTTTTATTTGCTGTCTATCAAATGCTGACTTTTGTGCCCTTTGTTAATGTTGGCTTAAAAATGATCGGTTTGGCACACTCGCAGGTACTCGAACAAAAAATCTAACTTCTGATTGAATGCAAGTAGCGACTTGAAATTCCTGCATTTTATAAAACTTGCTAAAACTGCTTCTAAAAGCACACTAATTTTCATTTGGATGGCACCAGTTCCCGATCTAACAGCATTTGCAAAAGTGTCATTTTACCAATAAACGTTTTACTACAACTTAGTGATCTTAAGCGGAAATTCGTAACTTCTAATTTGAAACAATGAAGAACTTGAAATTCCCACAGGTGAGAGAAAATACATTTGTTTTAAATGGCTTAAAATTGTGTTTAAATCGCTTAACAGCGTGATTTTTGCGCTCTTTTTAAATGTCGGTGTGCCAATGAGCGTTTTCACGCACCTGAGTGATCTTAAATCGAAACTCCTAACTTATAATGCAGAAATAGTAGCCACCTGAATTTTTTTCGGTCTACAGGTAAAACGTTAGTCTAAAGATTGTGAAATTGTCCATAAAATCCCAAAAATGCAGGCTTTTTCCTGCCTTGATCAATGTTGGTCCATACATCAAAGTTTTCACGCAAAACCAGGCACTGGATTAAAAAATCCTAATCTCTAATCCGGAACAAGCAGCGATAAATCGATTCTCCAAATGCGCCAAGTGTCGTTTGATTTGAGACAAGTTCGAATTTTTGAGGCTTTTGAGAATGCTGTGCTGATAATGACCATTTTCACGCAACTGCACGCTTTCTTCTAAAAATTAGCAACACTGATTTCAGAGCTGGTTGCCATTTGTAAATTTTACAGTCTACCAAAAATACACAATTCTCACAATCTGCAAAATTTTATTTCGATCGGAAAATATGCTGATTTTTGCGCCCATCGTAAATATTGGTCAAACAATGAACGTTTTCACGCCACGGAGTGATTTCAAATACAAATTGCTGACTTTTAATCTAAGCTGAGAAGCTACTGGGAATTATCACAATGCGTGAGAAATACTTCATTTTGGAAAGCCTTAATTTTTAATTTGAAATGCATTGGCGCCTGATTTTTGCGCCCCTTATAAATTTGCATAAAAAATTGACGCTTTTCTGCAATTCCAATAAAAATCATTATCCAATTCAAAGGAAGTAGCGACTTCAAAGTTTTAGAATCTATAGAGTCGGATCATGCCTCAAAATGCTCAAAATTTCATTTGATTTAGGAGAAGCCCAGATTTTTCAGCTTTTTGTCGAATGTTTTTCCCAAAATTAACATTTCCAGGTAACTGCACGCTTTTGCCTAAAAATTCGCTGAGCACAATCAGCCACTTGTAAATTTTACAGGCCATCTGTAAGACGTGAATCTTGCAACGCACAAAATTTCATTTAGATTGGAAAATATCCCGATTTTAGATAAAATCTCGATTCAACGAAAATCACCGATTTTTCAGCCGATGACCGCAAAAGGCTTAACCATTCTATAAAACGCTAAATTCATCTAAAAGACCGGTCGGGTTTGAATAAATTAGCGTCATCCTCTATGCGAATTGTTTTCGACAACATTTGCTTGTATCTTCATTTGCATGACAAATTTAGAAGCGTGATGTAATCCTCTATACTAATTATTTTGAAAGGAACTGTGGTTTTAACACATAATTACGCTGCCATTCTTACATAATTCTTTTGTGCATTTTCAGTGTCTCGTTTAGATAATCAACAAAAATCAGGCGAGCATGGGTTTTCATTTTGGAAAAGCCATCAGTTTTTAGTTTCTAAAGAAAAATCTTCTAACAAAAAAAAAACAGTGAAAGAGTGGAACAGTGTTGGCTAGCTGTGGAGCTTTAGATAAACCCACAAAGTTCCCAACATTTTAATCATTTTCATACGACTCATCGTCTTTTCTCAGGAGCTTTTTTGAACTTGAAATTCAACTTGTGTGCTTAAATTTTTTATTTGCAATGGTCGGATTTCAATTGCTGTCTCTGTGCTTGTGAACACTCAGTTTTTGTTTTGTTCTGTTTATATTCAGCGTGTGGCCCGAGGATTTAAAATAGCTTGGGCAATTTATCAACTTTGAAAATCCTGCCCGTAATGCTGATAAGATGGCATGAAGCTGAAAAGTGCCTCGTGAGTGACACGGGCTGAACTCCTGCAATGCCCTGTGATTTATATTGTCATTTATTGCGCCCTTGGAAAACTTGGTGTTGGATCTTCATTCCTTGCAAGCTCTAAATCATCGTTTCCATTGCCAGATCAACGTTGTTCGAAATAAGTGCAACTTGCGTCAGCAAAACGGACCATATAACGTGAAATATTCTTCATGAACAACGTTTCCAGTCGTGTAGTTTTGTATCACTGCCAGTTTAAAATTGGCAAACTTAAATTCCCTTGTCGTTCCACCATTTCCCAACAAGTGCCATTTATAGTAACTGTAATAAGTATCTGTCCACAACACAACCGGCTCTTTTTGTCACTTTTCTTAATATTAACTCTCGCATGGCGCGGTGAAAATTACGATCGTCATATAGTAAAGTAATATGGCTTTCAGACGAGGGAAAAGAACGGTTCCCTTCAAGGGATAGGGTTTCTTACTTCATATAGAAGCAGCTGTTGTTCGCCTTTATTTTTAATACATCGAGAGTTAATGGAGCGGTATTACTCCTTTATGGGTGACACAGCTTGTAAATTAAAACCATACAAGCAATGTGAGCTTGCGCTTACTTTTAAGTGGATCTCCTATTACTTGTTTGCTTTATTTAAACCCCGTTTTCCAGGCGCATTGTCTACCTACAAATTGCTATTGATCATTAATCACTTGTTACAGCAACAACAACTGGCTCATATTAACCAAGAGGCGGGAGTTTGGATATTGAACTTGCAATGCTGAGGAAAGGAAGTGCTGCCAGTTTAAGCTGTGAACGAACGATTGTTTAAACAATTTTACGTTCCAAAGTTTGATTGCTGAAGATATTTTTCACGCAGTTTTTGCTCTTCATGTTGCCTGTTTTTTATGGCGATTGGGTGAAATATTTCTATCTGCGTTTGACTGAAATTTTATATTATTTAGCTTCTACTTAGAACTTTATTTCTTGTGAGTTAGGAACCTGTCATAATTTTTAAGAATTATTAGTTACTCAATCGTTGCGTTTTTGCTGGTGTTTGGATCCGAAATTATTCAAGAACATGAATAGGCAGCTTCAACAGAACATCTACCAAAACGTCCTCTAAGCTACAACTAATTTCATCTTTCTTACTTTTTACTTTTACTGTTACTAAACTCGAGGATATTTTTTCTAGAAGTCAAGTTAATCGTTATTTGTGGTATTTTCAGTTAAAAAAACTAGCCAAAGGAACCACAACAAACTACTTTATTTGGCACTTTGTATTGAAGATTCCGTTCAGTACCATCATAAAACGCATTAATTTGTACATATTTCCGGCAGGAATGAAAAAAACGTCCAAGACTTACTTCTTGGGAAAAACAATCAACGTTTGAATCGTAAAAACGCAAATTTCCATTAATGTCAACGTCCCAGCTCACAAAGCAACAGAACTTTAAAGTTCATCCATTTTAATGCCGAAATTAGTTACATTCCTTTTGGTAAACATCGCAAGAAACGCAGTGAAAATCATAAAATATTTATTTAAAAGCCGGTTTAATATAAAATGCACACTTTACGTCCTAGTCTATTTAAGATATAGTTATTCCTATTGGCTGCCCTTAATGCGTCTGCTTTAAGCGGCCAATTTTCAGGAGACTCTCATTTCCCCTCGCAGATTGGAAGGATCCTCCTTTGTTCAATGAATGGGAATTTTCTCCATCCCAAACAAAAAGTTTCAGTCAGTTCAATTCACAACCGAACATCATTCGACCTAATTTATTTCCGGTAGTAAAATCGTGCTAAAACGACATCACATTTTTAATCCAATAGTCGATCCGATTCCCTGGATAGTAATTTCTTTTTAAGGATATTTCCCATCAGTTTCATTTTACAATGCCTGAGAGTGCTTGCCAGAAAGGAAAATGCTTGCTTTA